CCTTTTCTTGTCGTCCTCTTGTCCTCCTCGCCTCCTCCTCTTGTCCTCCTCGTCCTTTGGCCGCGCTGGCGAACCCTGTGTCTTCCTCCTGCTTCTAGTGGCCACGTTTTCGAGCCCTGTGGGTCCTCGGTGTTCCCCGCTGTCCTCGTGCCACGGTCGCAATCCAGGTCTGCCTGTCCTGCTTGTGCACGTTGTGGGCCCGCTTATCACCGTCTTACCCGGGGCTTGCCCCCTGCTTGGCCACGCCGTTTTTCCTATCTCCACCGCCTTGTCTGGGTATGTTTTCATGTGGCTATGAATGCAATAGTGACACAGCGATCGAAATGCGATATCACCATCGGATCTTCTCACGACAAATATCCGGTATCCCATCGTTCTGCGCATGTGACACAGGCATCCGGAACTGGTGTTTTCCAGCATTTATTGTTTAGGTACAGTTCCCAAAGTAAACTTGCACTCATTTCCACCAACGTTGGAATTTTCGGAGTTGACGCCGACGCCGACAAAAATGCTGACGCTGTTCACGAAAGCTAGCCTTAGCTAGCTGGAGTTGCTCTTGCTTTAGCAAGTTAAGTGACGGGGTGGACGCACCTCAGAAACCTCAAATAATTGATTAAATCAATCTTATGGACCCCCCCCCCCCGCGGTTCGACTCCCCCCCTGCGCGCGGTGAGCGGGACCACCAAGCAGCTGCAGCACACCAAGCATCTGCAGCGCCCAGCGCAGCAGCGGCAGCAGCAGCAGCAGCACCAGCAGCAGCAGCAGACCACCCAGCGGCGGCAGCAGCAGCAGCAGCATACCCAACGCCGCGGCAGCAGCAGCCGCAGCAGACCACCCAGCGCCAGCAGCAGCAGCAGCAGCAGACGACCCGGCGCCTGCAGAGCACCCAGCGCAGCAGCGCCCAGCGCAGCAGCGGCAGCAGCAGCACCAGCAGCAGCAGCAGCACCAGCAGCAGCACCAGCAGCAGACCACCGGAAGCCCGGCTAGCTTTCGTTCACCCCCTCTGGCCTCAAGTTGGGCTCTATGCTGGTGTAACTATATAAATGACACACGTTTGTTAATTAGTTGGATTGCTTGTGGCTTTCTTGCGTGCGGACCCCGAGGTGGACTGGCCGTCCATGTCTACCTGAAGCCGCTGCCAGACACCACAGCCCCAAAGGTGATGAAAGCCATCGACAAGATGATCGTGATGGGCAGCCAGATGGACGGACACTTGTTGAAGGCTGCGGCTGAAGCGCACCACAAGGCCATTGGCAGCATCGATGCCACGGGAGTGACGTCTGCTGCTGACTATGAGGCAGTGAACGCAGCTATTGGACGCATTGTCGCATCGGTGCCAAAAGCGACAGTGATGGATGTGTACAACTCGATGGCCGCAGTGGTGGATGGAACCGTCCCCAACAACATGTTCTCCAAGGTGAACCCTCTTGATGCAGTTGCCGCTGCAAAGGGCTTCTACACCTTCAAGGATGTGGTGGAAGCGTCTCAGCGTTGATGACAGTTTTTGGTAGCTGAACCATGCCGTGGAACTGTGGGAGCCCTTTTGATGGCTCGAATCCACTAATTATTTGTTTACAACTTTGTTTTTGAACCCTACAACCTGCACAGTGCAGCAAAGAGGGGAGGAGTCTTTAGCCGCTAGCCGTTCACAAGGTTGTGCGTTGAAACAGATTGGTGTACCTTCAGGTCAATAGTCACTGCTAGCGGAATGTGTTCAGAGGTACTTTTTAAGAATATAGAGAGAAATAAGATGAAATAAGATCATTAGTCACAGCTATCGAGATGCCATTTTAGACCATTTTGACTTGAGAAGTTTCTGCAGTTTTGAGCATCCAGGACTAGTTAAAGGCAAACAGGTCAAGAGGAAGCATGTATTTCAGTAAGGTCGTTAAGTGGGGCGGTTCAGCAGCCTGTGTTCGCTGAGTTGTCACTGCGGCGGATATTTTAGGCTTAACTTGCAGTTGCACTCCCTACTCACCTTGGAATCATGGTGCGTTCTTCGTGGAAAGTCTTGAGCGTGGCTGCCGCGTTGGTAACTTTGTACAACGTTTGCAACAGCTGGAGTTTTGTGCCTGCCATTGAGAAAACATGCGCTTGTGGCAGCTCCGTCCGCAGCCGGTATGATGATGGCTCCAGCCGCCTTTGCCGATGAGATTGGTGATGCTGCCAAGAAGCTGGGCATTTTCTTGCAGGCCCCCGGCAAGTTCCAACCACTTGAGGCTCTCAAGGCAATTGACAAGATGATTGAGATGGGAGCAGCTGCAGACCCCAAGCTCTTGAAGGCAGCGGCGGAGGCCCATCATAAGGCCATCGGAAGCATCTCAGGACCCAACGGTGTGACTTCCCGGGCGGATTGGGATGCGGTGAACGCGGCTCTGAGGGCTTTCTGGAGTTCAAAGACGTGGTGGAGAAGAAGCTTTTGATTGCTTCATTGCTTCAGGTGTAGTTTTCATGTCCCCCAAATGCGGTTGCGTCGTAGTATTGCCCACTGGGGATGATACATTACAATACAATTCTTTCTCTCAAAGTCCCTCAAGCAAGTCAGGAACCAAGTGGCCGCAGCTGGTGCTCCTGCCACCGTGCCCACTGAGGACAAGATTGGCGTCGCTGCAAAGGCCTTGTCAGATGCATCCTACCCCTTCTTGAAAGAGGTGCAGGGCTACTAAGAATCATTTGAGGACGGTTGCGCTTGATCAATATTTGTGGAAAATCGTTGTTGAATGGCGGTGCCATCTCTATTCCCCATTGTTTATGTATAAAAGACACAAGTTTGTTGATTGTTGGATTGCTTGTGGCTTTCTTGTGTGCAGACCCCCGATGGGCAGCCAGATGGACGGAAACAGACCATTGTCAGTGGATGCCTCAACAGGAGTGCTGACAATCTCAGTAGGAAAGTGATCCTTGGGAGGAACCAAAGGCAATTCATTCAATCCTTTGCATCTGCGGTATTCACTTTGAGCAGGCTTGACAGGAGCCCACCTCAACCATAGTGTTAGTGTCTCCATGCTCGTCAACAAAGGGGATTGCAATCATGTCTGCGTCGCCAACTTTGGCGCCACGAACAAAGTAGTCAACTCCACCACGAACATGTCGTTGTCGCAACAAGCAAGGGAATTGCAAGACACCGTCAACGGCCTTCACAACCTGGTCATGAGTCCACGCTTTGGGAGCACCTTGCAAGATCCACTGGCGAACGACGGCAGTCGAAGCATCACGCTGCTTTCTCAAGCCCAACTGTCTGTGCCCAACCAAGATGCCATAGGGAGGCTTCATTTTGGAGCAACGTTTCAAGTAGGTGAGAGAGTCCTCATCCTCGGCCTGGTCCTGCCAATCTACTTGCATTGGTGGTACAGAAGCATCACGAGACGGATCAAAAAAGAACTCGTCACCACTTGCAGCCATGACAGCGACTTTCTCTGAGTCAAGAACGCGCACATAGCCAAACAACTTGCAAAAAGGGTCTCCAGGTGCTTTCTCTTCAATCCACCCCCAAGAGTCCTGCACATTGAAAGAACGCTTCTTCATCCAAGCCGTGAGACACTTGTGAGGTTGAGAGCGAGCAGCGTCCCACAAAGCCTTGGTGCAGTATCGCTGATGCAACTTGGCGTACAACACGACCGTCTTGACCTCAGCAACTTTGGGCAACGGCTTAACCACCACAGCTGGACCAGGGGCAGTCAAGCCAGAAGTGCACACACGAGTGAAATTGGCCATCTTGAAAGCGACTCGGTGTCCATAGGCTCCCGGGCACCGTTCGGCTTTCTCCTCCTTGCCAGGCACAATGATCAACACAGCATGGACCCGATTGGACCCCCGAAGGAGAGCCGTCAGCGTGTCGATCTGATCACTATTGCAAAGGATGACAGCCTTGAACTCCCCATCTTGCTGCAGTTTCTGCAGCTCATTTGGGACTTTGTCAAAAGCAACCACTGGAGCATTCCAGTCACAATCCCGAAGCTTCCATTCATCACCTTCCTCAAACTTCGGCTTGCCTTTGCGAGCCACAGTAATCCAAGGACCATCAGCTGAAGTCGAACTCTTGCCTTTACCTTCATGAGAGACAGTTGAAGCGCACCACAAGGCCATTGGCAGCATCGATGCCAAAGGAGTGCCGTCTATTGGACGCATTGTCGCATCCGTGCCAAAAGCGACCGTGATGGATGTGTGCAACTCGATGGCCGCAGTGGTGGATGGAATCGTCAGTTGCCGCTGCGAAGGGTTTCTACACCTGGACCTTCAAGGATGTGGTGGAAGCTTCTCAGCGCTGATGACAGTTTTTGGTAGCGGTACCACGCCGCAGAACTGTGGGAGCCCTTTTGATGGCTCGAACCCACTATATATTTTCTTTACAGCTTTGTTTTTGAACCCTACAGCCTGCACAGCGCAGGAGAGAGGGGAGGAGTCTTTAGCCGCTAAGCGTTCACAGTTGTGCCTTGAAACAGTTTGCTGTGGCTGCAGATCATTAGTCACTGCTAGCGAAATGAAGCTGTTCAGAGCTACTATTTGAAGACGAGTGATCTGGGTGTTTGTCTCGGGAAATCCTTGGGTGGACAAACTTGCTTAGGTTCTTTTTCTTCCCTTCATGCGGAGCAAAAAGATAACTCCTGTCGACCCGCAGTTCCCTGTGGCTCTTTTATGCCCGATCTCCTGTGAGACAGCTTTCCGACTGCGGCTGCAAGCAGGCGCATGACATCATTCACGATATATGCCATATCTTGACAAACGAACTGAGTTGGCGACCTTTGGCTGTATTTGCCCAAACGACCAACAGATTCAATGGCCATCAATGAACCGGTTTACCCATCCCGAGGTTACCGTGAACAGTGGGCGACGGGTGGGCGCAGAGCCGAGAAACGGCGCAGAGCTGAGGCGCACAGAAGCTGTTACCCGGATGTTTCGAAGTGGCAGTGAGTCTGCCCACTCTTCTGATTGTGAAGAAACAGACACTGCTAAAACCTGTTGGATCTTCACATCTTTCCACAATTTTTGGATCTTTCCATTCCTTGCCAAGGTTGATTTTTGGACGCGGACTCAGGCCCAGACAAGCTGTTCGAACAGGCCGAACTGAGCGACGGTAAGAACAATTATGACACACTGAAAATTGATATTGCAGGTCTTGAGGACAAGCACAAATCGAGAAGTGTACCAACAGCCGTTTTAGCATCGAGAAAAGATCGAGCGATCAGTCGAGCAGGTTATGAGCCCAACGCAGGTGTAAGACCTCGCCCAGAGCGAGGCCGCCCCTCGAAAGTGCCGCCATGTCCATGCGGAGGCGAAGGCGGCAGCAACCCGGCGAGGACGACGCCGTGGAGGGCGAGATCCTGGCTGATGGAGAACGTGAAGAAAATGAAGGACATGAGCAGCTGGCTTTAGAGGATGGAGATCAAGGTGAACTACAAGGTCCGGTGGGAAGACCGACGAGTCTGGGTCCGGTGGCACCTTTGTTCTCCCCTGAGCAGCTTCGAGACCTCCGAGAAGTTCAGAGCCAAGCACCCCATCTGTACGCCAAGGTGCCTCGAGAGAGCGTGTGGCGACCTGGAGGAGAACGACATGATCCTCGAGGACCAACTCAGCAACAGAGTACTACGACGGGCACTCCATCTCCGCTTCCTGGCCCAGGGCATGAGTCCGGGGAACCTCGAAGAGGCCGTTCACCGGAACAGCAACTCCCTGAAGTCAAAGAGCCGGAGGAGAGTGATGGAGATCGAGCAGGTACCAGATCAACTTGGTGTTCAAGTACGAGGTGATGGACCTGGACATCGAGATCGCTTGGCACTCAAGGGATATGGAAAGGGTGGACCACCAGGGTATGTGATGCCTCATGATGAAGGAAGGAGAAATCTACTACCTCCTGGAGGACCACATCTACAAGGTCAAGGTTTGGGTATGCCGTACCAACATCAAGGGGGTTGGCAACATGGGCACCACTACGGGGCAGGCCCACCTAATCCACAAGAGATGATGACCATGCTTGCGATGCTTCGACAAGAAAACCAACAGCTTCGGGTGGAGCAGACTGAAATGATGGATGCCATGAAGTTCCAACGAGCGAGCCTGGAAGCTAAGGTGTACGACCTTCAGCAGGAGCTGGAGCAGCAGATGTTTCGCACGCCGGAGAGTGGAGACACTGTGAAGCGCCATCTCGAGATGACAGCAGGTGAACAGGAGAAGGAGATCGACCTGGAGAAGGAAAGAAAGCGCCTCTACGAGCTGACGCCAATGCAGCAGTTCGAACAGCTTCAATCCCTCATGGGCACTCCTGCACCTGGCAAGCATGGAGGTCGAGGACATGGACAATGAGAACGCTCAAGGTCAGTGCAAGGGCCGAGAGCATCAAGTCCTGGTGAGGAGCAATCCGAGAGCCAAGGCCTATGAAGAGGAGCTTGGACAGGGCAATGGAAAGGGGGTGGGTCAATCTCGGAGGAGATCTACGACAACGCAGCCCATTCAGCCTGAGGCCTCAGGAAGTCAAGAAGGGGTCAAGGGTGAGAAGATGATGGAGGTCATGGCCAAGCTGGTCAACCACCTTGTGGAAAAGGAGAGCCGAGACGGCGCGCCAGAGTCGGTGAAGCCTGGAACAGTGACACTTCCTACGCTTCCTGAACCAACAGATTCGGCGCAAACTGACCTGGCTGATTGGCTTACGTTGATTGAGCCGGCGATGACGGATTTGAGCGACTCCTCAGGGCAGTGGTGGGAACTGGTTGTTAGTGAAGCACGAAAATGGAATAGCCATTACATCCATCTTCGACCACTTCAACGAGCAAACTGCATCATCGAGCCCTCCCTGGAGTTGCAGAAACCCAAATGGGTGCGCGTGGAGAAGCATGCCATCAGCATGATGCTTGCAGCTGTGCCGACAAGTGTGAAGGAGGAATTGGTGGCTACTAGGGCACTTTCTCCACTCAGGCTGGTCAGCAAGCTCATGGTCTTGTGTCAACCAGGTGGGACGCATGAACGTTCCATCATCTTGAGACAACTTGAAGAGCCGTCGGAGACGACATCACCAGCTGAAGCGTGCACTGGATTGCGGAAGTGGATGCGCTGGCTTCGACGTGCCTCGGACATTGGTTTGAATCTTCCTGACTCAACGATCCTCATGAAAGGCATTACGAGATTGAGCCAGAAGGTGTTGGCCCAGCAGCCTGACTTGCAATTCAGGTGTTCTCTTGTGAGGAATACGTTGCAGTTAGACGCGATCCCGACGGAGGAGACAGTCAAGACGTATGCTGAGCATTTACTGTACTTGCAGAACTTGAACAACTCATGCATCGAGTCAGGCCAAAGACTGGTGGCGTTCCAAGAGCTGGCAATCCAGGAGGAGCTCCACAGGTGAAGGCGGCCTTTGTCGATGAGAAGAAGGGAGATGGAAGCCCAGAAGGCAAGAGTCCTGGCATCTGCAAATACTTTCGGACTGATGCAGGATGTCGGAGAGGAGCTGCCTGCCGATGGCTGCGCCAAGCTGAACCTAGAGAAAAGAGGTGCTATGTCTGTGGAGCTACCAGCCACTATGCTAAGGATTGTGCTCGAAAGGAGTTGAACAAGTCTGGAAAGCGTCCCGATCCGAAGCCGAAGATCCAGAAGGTGAAGGATGTGGGAGGAGCTTCTTCGTCAGCGCCTTCGGAGACATCGTCCTCAGTGTTCCCGAACCCAGGATCACCGCCTTCGACTTGTGGGTCAGATTCTTCTGGATGGAGGCAACCAGGATGCTTTGAAGCAGGTGTTGGATGAAGCGCAACAAATGCTGAGGGGCATGTCGATCCAAGGGGAGAAATCCAAGGAGGCGGACCTAGTGGAGGCCCTGAAGAAGATTAAGGACAAGCCTGCAACCCCAACAATGAAGGCCGTGTCGGTTGCTAGAGTTCAGGCTGGAAGCAATGGACTTCTGGACACGGGAGCGACTCACGCACTACAACCTAGACGACCCGGAGAGAACCTGGAGAGATATAGGCAGGTTCAAGTGTCTTTGGCTGCGGGAGGACGGCTCACGTTGCGGATGACGGAAGGGCAGGTGTTGGTTTATGTGGATGAGCGAGTTGAGCCCATAGTCCCAGTTGGCCGACTTTTCAAGGACCTTGGCTGCAACCTGGAATGGGAAGGAGACCATTGTCGGCTGCTGCATCCATGGAGGGGCCTCATCGATGTGGATCTTGTTGAGGGCTGTCCCATGGTAGCATACACAGAAGCGCTGGCACTCATTAGCTTGAAGAGTCCAACTCAAGGATGGCGTTGAGGTGTCATGTTTTTGCAGATGAAGGGATTCACGCAAACTGGCTTGATCAGGTGGTTCGGGATTTTCCAGTGTTCCAGAACATGCCGCAGAGGATCAGAGACAAGCTGGTGGACACTCCGGCGAGGGATCTTAGTGGCCTTCAAGTCAACCGCAGGATTCGTCGGAGGTGGGAGAGAGAAGGAGTCACGGTGCATCTCTATGCAGGACCGAAAGAAGGGTACTACCTGCAGAGGGCAGTGAAGGAAATGGGAGGAGATCCAACTCGCATCTTTGAGGTGGACATTGTCAGGGACAAGTCACGCGACATGATGGCTGATGATGGCATGTTCGCGATCCTCTTGAGGATGTGCGTGGACGGATGGGTAGATGGAATCTTGGGAGGCCCCAATTGCCGAACAAGGTCGACCTCGAGACACCAGCCACATGAGAGAATGCCTGGGCCATCGAGGACAACCACACATCCATGCAAGCTTCCGCACAACTGCGAGGTTGAAGCTGCTAAGTGCTACAGGTTTGCTTTCTTCTTGAGCAACCTGCAGAACCTCCGCAAGAGCCCACATGTGCTTCGTTTTGGAGGTCCGGAGAGTGGAAGGCATTGAAGACCATCTTGGGACTTGAACTGCTCACTTTCAACCAAGGAGATTTTGGAGGCCTTGCTGCAAAGCCTACATCGTTGGCGCTCAATTTCCCGTTCCAGACTCCGGAACGACGCCTGGAGGAGCCGGTGGACTTGAGGCCTCGAGCGGAAGTGACAAGCAAGGATCTTGCCCGACGGGCTCCTGGAATGATGAGGGAAGTAGCAACTCAGGTGGTCAAGCGCATTCAGAAGAAGAGATTAGCCCTACAAGTCCTGTCACGCAGGGAACACTTGGCGCAAGGGCACATTCCCTTTCGA